AAGAGAAGGTAGTGCAAACCAACATGGAAGACCATCACCATCAATTGCAGAAGCTGGGCTGTGCTTGTGCATGCTCCAGGAGCAGGTTGCCTGGGGCCTACAGGCACAAGTGGCAGCAGGTCTGACACAAGAAAGAGACAGAACTATAGCACACATTTGCCAGGCAGGTGAAGGAGAAAGAGACCATCCTTAAGCAGATGAAGAGAGATCTTCAGGCTAGGTTCCAGCATCTGGAACACGTCCAGCACAAGAATATCGTAAAAGAGACCTTAAAACTCAAAGACAAGAGGAAAGCTCTGCAAGAAGAAATGCTGGCCTTTTCTATACAGAAAACCACATTGGAGATGTTGCAGAGCCAGGTATCAGTGTCTAGTACCAGCAAGAAGGAGGACAACAACAGTAAATACTACTATTTTTTTGTAACTCAGGAGTTTCAGAACACATCTCACCCCAACCTAACCTTGAAACCCAAAGCTAAAGAAAACTGTATTTTCTTTCACAAAAGTGAAAACTTACAGTTATGCTCTGAAAAAATCTACTTTATTAATTTCTATAATTGTATCCATGACTTCTTATCTATAAGCACATTCAATTATAGATTTATACTTTTAACTCATTTTTATATAAATTTCTTTGTGTGTTCACCTTTTTATTTACTTCGTGACCAGAGGAGCCTTTTGTATTGGTACAGAGGCTTTCAATTATTTGTACCATTCAATGTAATTTCAGAGAATAAGAAATTATTCCTATTCTAGGAAACTATTTAACTTCTATCTTATCAACACATTGAGTATTCTTTTATCTTATTAAATCCGTGCTTCAATAAATACTATGGAACATGTTTATTTCTTATATATGCAGACATATTTATAAGATAAATCCTTAGCAGTAGGATTTTTTCAAAGAGTATATACATTTTACCAAAACAAATATGTACATATGCTTCTTTACCTATAGTTGCACCACAAAACCTATCCATGTACAATACAACTTAGAAACTACATACCAATGTGTTGACTTCTTTTAATGCACCAAGCCTGCACACTCATCTGTATGAGCTCCATTTCTCAACAAACATGTTGCTTTACACCTCAACATTTTACATAATTCTCTTTTGTCTGGAGTTTCCTCCCCTCACAATTGTCTGTTAAGCAGCTCACTATTCCTATTCAAACTAATGAGATTAGCATCACATTGCTTTAAATATATTAACTTCCTTTCATTCTATCATAATTAGACAATCCTCTCCTTAAAACTAAACTACAGATACAGAATTACATTTTCAGATATCATTTAATCTTTCAAGTAGTTTATTATGTGTTTGTGTATGCTAATCAGTGATTCTAGTTGGTTAAAGAACAATTGAAATATGTAGATTTATATTCACAGAATTAGAGTCTAGGTAGGGAACTAGTGCTGCTCAATAAATTATAGCATAAACACTTTTTATTATAATTGGATTGACACCATGAGGAGATGTATAACACAAAAAGAGAACCCAGAATGCTGAAACCTCTCATAGTTACAGTGGTTATTGAAATTTTTTTTGGAACAATTGAATCGAGATTGCTTCTAAGGAATCAATAGGACTTGGACAGGGTGAGCAGGGAGCACAAGAGATTGTTCTTAAACAGGTGTAGGATGGCCTCAAAATATAGAGGAATATCTCTACCTAAAAGGACAAATTTGAGTCACTTGTAGGAAAATGGATGTACCTTGAGCCCCAACGGTAAGTGAAATAAATCTGACACACAAGCTTAAAAACTGTGTGATTTCTCTTAGATGAGAAATCCAAAATTCAATTTGTAAATAAAATATGATAGGAGATAAAGAGATAGGTATTTTGCTAAAGGGAAAGAAACCAAGAGTAGGAGGAAACAGGGAAGATCAAGAGACAAAGGGATGAAAAAAGAATTATAATGTGTGTTGTACATGATAAAGCTTCCCACAAGAAATGTGATTATGTGTGTTGTAACCATATACCAGAAATAAAAAAACCTAGAATATCTGGGTGCAGTTGTACATACCTATAATTCCAGCACTGAGGAGGATGAGGCAAGAGTATTCACTGTAAGTTCAGGGCCACCCGATCTTGTCTCAAAAATAAGCAAACAAAGAAGCAAATAAATTTTAAATAAAAATTATTACAAGACTGATTGCTCTGAATTTCCCTCAAAATCATCCCCTTGACTTCAAACACACTTAACCCATCATTCTTGCCATTTTCTGCAGCAATTCTGGAAATCATCTTTTGTGAGTAACTTTTCAAGATATGATTGAAAATTCAGTCATTTTTTTGCTGCTGCCTAGTGCGATCCACTGGAAAGGCAGCCTCATAAAAGCATTACTAGGTGTTCTCAGTCACCTTATTCACTGGATCTGGTACCATGTTGTAGGAATCCCCTCCTGGTTCTCATCTTGGTTCAAGAAGTCAATATTTGTAATACCAAAGATATGTTATTGGAATCCCACCAAGTTAATTCCAATCTACCACTCCCAGTGCAACCCATGGAGAAAGTACAGAGACTAAAACATATTTATAATTATTGGGGAGCCAAGGGGCCTTAAGTCCAGCCACAAAGATGTCTTTCTGGAACAAAGAAACTGATCCAGGGCCACACCCAGGTTTTATTCAGTTAAGGAGGAGTGGCTTGAGGAGGGATGACTGATAATTTTGGGAAGTGAGTACTGAAAGCTGAGCTCAGTGGGTGGCCTACATTTACCTCTGCCATATACAAAGAGCATATGCAGAGAAAGTAATTTGCATTATGCTACTGAGATAGTATCTAATGTTTCAGGAGTCTTGTGCTTCAGTACTGATATAATCTTCCAAGCCCTAGGAAGTCATAGCTAGCCTCTATCTCTAGGCTCGATCCCAGCTGGCAGCATGGAGCATTGGCTCTTCATCCTGTCTCCACCCAGTTCACATTAAGGAACAGCAGGTGTAGGTTACCAAGAAAACCTGTATGCCACTTTCAAAGACTATCAACAGTGCCTCAGTTAGACAAATATACATTGCTTAAGTTCAATTGAAAGGACAAAGAGAAGTCCTAGCCAGCTCTGTACATATCAATTCAAGGAAATAGGATCAGGCTCAGGCAAAATGGAGACAGTCACTCTTCTTTCAAGGAGAACTGCTCAGGTGGTCATCCACACCATGTGACTTCTGGCTTTTCCCAAAAGTCAAAATCACCACCAAAGTAAACATCTTGAATCAATACAGAGATGAGAAAGCAACAAGATACTCATCAAAGAGGACTCCTAGATCTGCTTCAGACCATAACAAGAACAATGTATTCAAACCACATCAGAGTACTTTGAGGGACATTAATGACAATGTGTCTTTTTTATTAATTTTATTGATACATTTTTGAGTACAGGATTTTTTTTATTTTTAAAGAGAATAAAATGTAGTAAAAACAATTAAAACCAATACAAAATTTACTAAACAAAATGATAGGAATTCAACAATTATTATATTGCATACTGTTGTCTTCAAATTAGTTGTTCAGATTACCAGATATAAGCATGCAAAATTGGTCAAAAATCATAAAAAAAATAATTTCAATGTTAACTGTTCATTTTCATAGACCAGTGAAAATCAACACAACATTTAACCAAGGTATCCTGTACACCTGTGTGTGTGTGTGTGTGTGTGTGTGTGTGTGTGTGTGTGTGTATGGAAAAAAGTAAAAAAGGAAAAGACAATGTGACGTTTGCTGTAATGAATATTTTTAAATTTTAAACATTCAACCTTTTATCACATCTTGTATCACACATTGCTTGCATACAGGCCACACTAGCATTGAAACTGGCATAGTGAGGGAAAAGGAATGTTAGTGTGCAAGGGAAAGGGAAATACAAGAGAAGACTGAGAGATAAGCAAGATCTTACACTTCAGTTGTTTGTTTATTTGTTTTGGCAGAACTTGGGATTGAACTCAGGCCCTTGCACTTGCCAGGGAAGTGCTTATTCCACTGAGCCATCTCATGATCCACATAACAATACCTGTCATGCTCTAGGTTTTAGTAACAAGCACTTCAAAATATACTTTATCCTATCAGTAGTGAAGAATGTGAAAACAAATCAAACCAGTATACCTTATCTTGGAAGAAGTGAGCAACAAGCATTGCCTGGTGCAAAGATGAGAGCTGTCCTTGGGTATTCAATGCATAACATCTTGGAGAATGGCTAACCTGGTGTGCGTGTTGGCAAATAAACCTTAACCAGGCTAACAAGTGAAGCTGTGATGGTGCCTTTGGAGCTTAATTCCCACCCCTCATGAATAGGATCTTCTATCAAAAAGTCCCAGATAAAGAATAGACATTTATTCTCCAGCTTCAGATGATTTGATTCTATGATATTATAGTATTAATTTGAACAACTTCCTAAACAGTACTTTTTACCAAGTCTCAAAATAATTATTTTATATTTTTCAGAAATCTAGACTCTCCTTTTTGGTCTTTTTGAGAGAGAGTTTTGCAAAGCAGTTCAGGCTGGCTTTGACTAAGCTCATTGTCTAGGTTAGCCTTGAACTTTCAGTGATTCTCATGTCCCAGCCTCATGAATGCTGGGATTACAGGGATCACCACTGTGCCTGGCTGATCTTCTTTCCCCTACAGAAGAAGGAAGCTTATTTAATAATGAACTTATATAAAGTGAATAGAGTAGAAGTCAGCATTCTTTTCCCAGGTAAAAAGTTATATTATTTAAAACAAAAGATTTTATTACTACTTTTAAATGGGTAAAAGTTGAGAATCAAAATACCTTAATAATACTTTAAGGGGCTGGTGAGATGGCTCAGTGGTCTAAAGCACCTATTTAGAACAAGCTTAGCAAAGCACAGGTACCACGGTTCAATCCCCCAGCACCACATGCCAGCCAGCCCCGCCCCCTGGTGGGCTGAGCTGGCCACACACACACACACACACACACACACACACCTAAAAATAAATAAAAATTAAAAAAAATAATAATACTTTAAGCTAACTCAGTTTTCTTTATTTTACAACTTTGTGATAAAATGGGATATTGACTTATCAAACATAGTATACATTGTTTTCTGCTTTCTTATAATCTTAGAGTAAATTTCAATTCAAAATAAGGAACATGCAAAATATTTCTTCATTCAAATATTCTTCATTCAAATATTTCTTTATTCAAAGAAATACAAGTGTATCAAGGACAAGATATACAGCAGAAATCCACCTAAGGCAATTAATTTTGGCATAGATTCAATATCAGTTAAATTTATAAATTGTACTATAACATAAAACAATACCACTTAAGTTCAAATAAACACTTTTCTTTTAATGTTTTTACCTGCAATTATTTATTCATTTTACAAATCATAATATGAAAAGGCCAGTCTAACAGCTCTGCTGACTAAAGCACCTGCAAGCAAGACCAGGGGCTGGGTTTCAATCCCCAAGCCTGCCTTGCCATCTCTACCCCCAGTGTGCACTGAGACAGCAATGCGTACCGGACATGGTGGCGTGAGCCTGCAATTCCAGCTCTTGGAAGAATGTTATCAGGTGGCTCACTATGAGTCTGATCTAGTAGTGAGACCCTGAACACCTTGTAGACCCTTCTCTAAAATACAAAAAAAAAAAATACGAATACTCATTAAACCTTTAATGAACACCAAGCATTGCTAAATATGTTACACGCATTTTATTTAACTTTCACAACATTACTAGTAGTGATTAACTCCTATCATTACATATTATGGGTGAATATTGCTTTTTTCAATCATTTAGGTTTGCATAATAAAGGGATGGGACTTAATTTAGATCTGTGATGGACTGATCCTCACTAATTGGATAAATATCTCTCCAAAACAAAAACAGGTGGACCTATACTATCTATCAAAGCAGGTGTTCAGCAAACAACCATTGAAACAAAGATTGACAATTCAGAAGCAGGATTTCAATTGTAAAAACAAAGATAGTAAATTTTACTGAAAAGTATAAATCACATGAGTACATTTCTTTGCTTTTTTAAAGATATTTGGTACTGGGTCTCACCATGCAGCTCCAAGTCATAGTGACCTCCTGTTTTCAGCCTACCCAGCACTGGGATTACAGGCGTGCACTACCTCACTTGGTCTTTGTTGCCCCCTCAACAAGCCAGTGCAGCATGTGGTGACAGGTCCCAGTCCCTGAATTGCCTAAGCAGATGCTTAGTCCTATGAGCTACTTCAGAAGGCCAAGAGTAGATTTCTACTTCTACTTTTTGCATTTGTGTGATGAGATAACAAGGACAATGATTTGCTTAAAAATGAACAAAGCTCTGAATTAAAAGTGTGTTGTGCAACTAGCTTCAACATTACATTTCTTAAAAAATCTTCTGCAAACTATTCACTTTCAGATGAAAACATTTGGTGTGAAGGATGTTAGTATTGAGGTATGTTGAGACCCATAAAGTTCAAGAAAAAGTAAGAAATCATTAATGCTGTTTCTCTGTTGCAAGGTAAGGACTTGACTTTTTGTGTTTTTCTCATGATACTCACATCTGAATTCTTGGAGACAGATTAATCCCAGAACTCTTTCCATCAGTCAGTTCAAAGAGACAAAGTTTATTACTACTGCAAAACATCAGATCTCCTAACATAATTTTGTTACTTCCCATATTAGTAACGGAAATTGGAAAAATCCTACTTATTCTTCTGTCATATGTCTTGAGACATCCAAAAACTGGAATGTCAAACTCAGATGCTAGTAGCTTACCCAGATTAAAGATATTCTTCACAGACATGCTATTCAAAAATAAGATACGAATGAGGTACAAGACCAAGGGAAATGGATATAACACTTTAGAATCCATTCTATTTGCTTTCCAAAGAAATAGTCATAACTATTCTGTTTTTATCACCTTCATATCAGAAATGAAAAATGAATAGAAAGGTACAGTGAATTCCCATTCAAAGACCCATGTGAGTTTAGACTAGAGTAATGTTCATTGTTATTTATAGTGATTCAACTTGGAGCAATTTTTATGAATTCTAAGATATTCTAAAGTTTAGTTATTAGATCAAGAGAGTAGAAAGTTGATTCGTTCACTATTCTGTAATAAATCAAATTAGGGAGAACTGTACAATATAATGTTTCTTTTTTGTCTTTTCTTCCTACATCCAAATTATATTAGAAATTAGATACCAAACATATCAAAACAATATCAATCCTGACTTCTTATTTTTATGATTTAAATGACAGATTCTAACTTTAAATTTTTATTGGTCCATAAGTAAAATTGCTTACTGAACTTTCAGGTAGGACATCTCCATTCATTTTCTTGGATGTTGTGGATTAGTTTTCACAAAATTGAAACATCGGTTATGTAGTTTGTTCTTCACTGCTGTCCTTACTTCTAGATTTCTCAAAGTATAAATAAGTGGATTCAGAAAAGGGGTAAAGATGGTATAGAAAACAGAAAGAATTTTGTCCACTAGGAAGTTTGTGAAAGGCCACACATAAATGACTATGCAAGGCCCAAAGAACATTAGCACAACTATAAAGTGTGCAGTACAGGTAGAAAGAATTTTGGAAGAGCCTGTGGAGGCATGACCCCTGATGGTGATAAGAACAGTGATGTAAGAAGTGAGCAAAAGCAGAAAGCTTATAAGAGCGATCACACCACTTGTGGATACCATGAAGACCCCAAGAATGTACATATCTATACAAGCCAATTGAATAACCAAAGGAAGGTCACAGAAGAAACTATCTATAACATTAGGACCACAGAAGGGCAAATAGAGGGTAAATGCTAACTGGCTTACTGTATGCAAGAAACCCACTATCCAAGAAGTTACCACGAGCCCAATGCACATGTTTTGGCTCATAATTTGTGAGTAATGGAGAGGTTTACATATGGCAGTATATCTGTCAAAAGACATGGAAATCAGCAGTACAATCTCAGTCCCAGTGAAGAGGTGCAAAAAGAAGATCTGAGAAATGCATCCCTCAAAGGAGATGGTCTTGTGCTGAGCAAAAAGGTCCATGATCATCTTTGGTGTGGCAAAGGATGACAGGCACATATCAATCAGAGACAGGTTGCTGATCAAGAAGAACATGGGGGAGTGGAGGTGTGAGGTCGACAAGACAGTGAGCAAAATCAAGCAGTTGCCAAACATGGTCATTAAATAGAAAATGGAAAATATAACAAAGAAGAATATCTGGAGCTCAAAGGAATCAGTAAGTCCAAGTAACACAAATTCAGATACTCTGGAATGGTTGAATCCCTCCATTGATCTTCAGGACTTGCTGTATAATCTTAAAAAAATTACACATCCATAATCATGTGACATTTCTATAACTATGTGTGCAAGACTTTATGCTATAAGTTAATAATTTTCTAGAGTGAAAATAATACCTAGAAATCATTTATAACCCTCATTGTATAGATTTTTCTTTTTTTAAAACTAGGATAACATTTGAGAAAGACACTCTCATTTTTGCCAGCATGTGTACACATGAAACTATGTTAATCACTTCCAAACCTGAGTGACTTAATGCATCTGTATAGAAGATTACATTAAGCTCATGGGCTATAGAAAATGAGAAATATGAAGTTTTCCAATCTCAAAAGTTTCTCTCAAACAAGCAAATGCAATTATACCGAGTCAACTACTGTTGGACAATGGATTTAAAGACTCATAAGATCATTTCCAAAGATCTATTTAATATTACTTGCAGCTGATAATTCTTGTCTATAAAACTATTGGTGAAAAAGGTATACTTGTAACATTTTATTAAGGTATACTTGTAACATTATTATCAGTTAAATTATCCTCTGATTTTATTTTATAATCTAGAAATGATTAGAATTTAAATATATTTAAAAAGCAAAGTGGACCAATGTCAAAAATGTTAAAGTCAATACACTAACACTTAAGTTATTATTGATATTGACATGAATAGAAAGAATGAAGTTATTACAATAAATTCAAAGATTGATCAAGTGGAAAGAAAATCAAGAAGTTAGCTCTGTTACTTCCACCTCTTCCATTTCTCTTGTATTACTCCATTTAGGAAAATTTCACTTGTTGCAAATGGAAATATAAAGGAGAAAAATTTTGATTCATATTTTTCATGGTACTGTACAGAATAAAACAAGTTGGATGTAGATTATATGCTCTAAATTAGTTTACCTCATTTTTCCATGCTTAATTTTATGACACAATATATGAATTTTAAGTATTACTTTTGATAGTATTTTTCATTTAAGTGATCTCATATTTTCCTGAGTGGAGAAAAATTTAGTTACATCCTCACTTTTGCACAAAATAAAACATTTTTGAGGGGCCCTGCCCATCAGCTCAATTGTTTAAGTGCCTGCTTGAACAAAGAAGTCAGTCTCAGGATCCTGTGATTTAATCCCCAGATCCTCAAGCCAAAACCTTCCCTGCCCTGAAGGCATACTGAGGTCCAAAAAAAAAAAAATTTGCAAACCTGATACTTTTAAAATGTAGCAGAGAAAAACATTCAAGTATTCATGAGAATTATTACCCAATAGTTAAGAATGGTTAAAATCACATTGACCTTAACTGCATCTCAGTAACCTGTTTGCCTCTTTATTTTTAAAAATTAAATTAAATATTACATATAAAGCTCCAGGCCTCATTCAAGAAATTTTCTATATTTCAAAATTCAGATTTACATATTTTACTTAGAAGTAATCAACTCGTTTTATTTCATTGATAATAATCACAAAGACCAGGCATAGTTGTGCATGGCTGTAATCCCAGGGCTGGCAAGGCTGAAACAGAAGGCTAACTACAATTCTGAGCTGCATAGTGAGACCCTGTACAAAATTAAAATAATAATTAATAATAATAATAATAATAATAATTCATGCTAGAAAATATTTTATCTAGTTGCAATGCAGAAATTTAATAAGACTATAAGCTACCAAAACAATTTCATCATTTTAAAGTTAAATTACTTCACGTCATAGCAAAATTATATGAGTTCCTTTCATATTAAAAACATTAGGGGCCAGAGAGATGGCTCAGTGGAATAAACGCTTCCCTAGCAAGCGCAAGAGTCTGAGTTCAATCTCTGGTTCTGCCAAAAAAAAAAATAATCATAATAATAAAAACACTAAAAGTTCTCAGGTTTATACATTTGCCTATTTCCTGTCAATAATTTCACTACTGGAAACCATTTTTATACCAGTGTAGTTGAATAAACATTTGTGAGGGTTTTTTTGTATCAGAAAGTCAGCTTTAAAGGAACCATTGATCTTTATGTATTCCTATTAAATACACTTTTCTGCTACTGCACATTATTTTAATATAATTATTAGATAAATACAATCCCAGACACTTGGAGAGTAAAACCTCAGCTGCTCCTTAAGATTCTTACATCATTCTCAGCCTTTAACCTACCAGTTGTGATCCAGAATAAAAAACACCACATATTCTGAGACTCTCTAGCCCACTGAAATCACCATAGTCTTAGTAAGCACTGGAAACCTGGAATACAGAAATATTTTCCCCTGTCTTGGCATAAAAGCCTTTATAAGGGAGTAGAATTCTGGTGACCAATACTATCTACGTGCAATGGGAGTAATTAAAATGTTGAGCTAGCTTTGCAGAAAGTTGCAGTCTTTGCTTTTGCTTGAGGATGCATGCTTATAATGAACAGTGTTCACTAGAGAGAAGATTACAGTTGGGACTGACCTAGGCAAGGAAGACATCCACACAGTTATTGAACAAACATATTAAGTGCAAAAGGTTACTTCTTAAAATATAGAGACACTCCCATATTTATCTTATGGTGTCCAAAATCCTAACGTTGGAAATTATTATTTCAGGGAATGGAAATTTACCTCCAGCAAAAACTTACTTACTAAAAATATATATTAAGAAGGACAATCCATTAAATTTTCTAAACTAATATTAAAATTAGCACAAACTAATAAGTATAATGATAACTGGCTCTCTGGGTAGGCAAAGTCTACAGAGGGGGACACTGGAAAATCTAGAGTACTTTGAGGTGAAAGCAGACAGGATGTAAGATATAAGATATACTATAAAACTTAAAAGTGAAATATTCAGCATATAAAAAGAAAGAATTCAACAAAATGCAGCAGAAGAAATAATGCCAAGAATTTTAATTGTTTATATTGCTTTTTGAAGTGTCCACAGTATGTTATCAAAAAAGATATGAAATATAGATTTACAACATGAAACCATAAACCAAGGTCCTTGCCATGTTTGTGCACAGGTCAATCCTCATCTGAAACTGACTCTATAAATCTGATCTTCCAAAACTCTCAGCATTTCACACTCCACAACTATAATGCCCGCTCAACATTCCCTAAAGGACTGTCAACAGAACCTAAGAAAATCCCTGAGAAAATTTCTAACAGCCTTTTTTTTTGTTAATTTTATCAGTACATTTTAAATATACATAATGATCACATTCATCATAGGGTATTTGTATCCATGTGTAGTATATCTTGGTTCTTCTTTTTTCCCATTCCCTTACAGTCCTTTCAACACTCTTCACCTCTTTATTTATAAAGACTTTTTCATTTATTCTTTATATTCTTTTTCTTTTCTAGAGATCTTTTAAATAAGAAAAAAATGGATTTTTTCCCAAAAGCACTGTTTTTATTTATACAGAGTCCTGCCCTCGTGGGTGGTAGGAGTGGAGAGGTTCTTTTTCCAATCTAAGGGCTTCTGTGATATTGGTCTGCTAGCAAACACACAGGCAAGTGGCTTCGTGGACTTGGTAAAGTAATGGCAATGTTTAGTCTCTCTGCTAAAGCAACAAGGTGAACATCATTTTCTGCTTCCGTAAGAATCCTGGATTTAGGATTGTCAACTGTAACTACTCTGACTTCCATTTCTGAAGGTTTGAAATCAATTGAAAGGACAGTAGACAGGCATATAATTGCAGTTTCCACTGTCTGTTCAAATGTCCAATCAAATTTTTTCTTCACTTTTTTTCAAGGAAGCTGGTTGACTCAGTTTGTTTCACACCTGCTGCAGTGGCTTTAAATCCACAGTAGTAGCCTGCAAGGTCACATTTGTACACCTGGGGACCTTGCTTCTTGTCGATACCAATTAAAATCATACAACAACCAAGTGGCCTCATTTCAGCATTCTGTGTGTAAACTTGAGAAATATTAGCAGTTCCTTTACACAGCATATCCATAGGAATCTCATAGTTGTATTTCCAATTAGCTGCCTCATGCCATGTCCCCTGCACCTGAGACCTGCTGTTGGCTGTCATTCCGGTCATCACACAGCCAATGCTTTCAGTTGTCTTGAATAAATGAGTCACTGTACTGGAATCCAATAATTTATCAGGTACTTTCTTCTGTGTGACAATTACTGCACAGTCTTTTCCTCTGACAGCTACCGATGTAAGGCCACCCTGGTTAATAGCCTTAAAAGCATATTCTACTTGATAGAGCTGACCCTTGGGTGAAAAAATGGTAATGTGGTGGTGAAAACCAGCCCTGAAACCACGGGACATGTTGTACATGTTCCTTCAAGCAGTCTTTGGGTCCCTATACTCCCACACTAGGCACACAAGAGCCACTCCTGGATTTTTATTAGTACATGCTCACAATACATAATAACTACATTTATCATGCAGAGTTGTTACATGTACCAAACACAACTTGTTTTTCATACCCATCTTCCCACTCAACATGCTCTTTCCAATTCTTGGTCCCCTTCTCATTTTTACGTATCTATTTTTATTGTAATTTTTTCTCTTTGATTTATTTTTTTATCCCCTTGCCTATTCTTGTTTCCATCACTCATTCCACATCTATTTAAAAAAGATCTCTGTGGGGGCTTCCTGGATAACTCTGTTGTTTAAAGCACCTCTTGGGTAAATAAGGTCAGGCACATAGGACTGTGGTTCAACACCAAGCTCCACAATCTGCACCAGACCTGCCTTAAGGCAGCCTGAACTAGATCGCTGAACAAAAAAAAAATCCTTCTCTAAAAAAGATTGCTTTACTCCCTATTTATCTATCTTATTTATGTTACCTCCATTTATAGAGTTTCTTATATAACAGAGATTATGCAATGTTTAAGCTTGTGTGTGTGAATTATTTCACTTAATTTTAAGTTCCTCAATTTTTAATCTTTTATTTATTTATTTTTCTTATTTGGTATAGGGTCTCACTATGCAGCTCACACTTGTAGTGAACTGCTTGTCTCAACTTCCCCAGCATTGGGATTATAAGCATGCTCCACCAAACCCTTTTTCAGTAGCCAGC